TATTTAACTTTATCTCCAACAACCTTAAAGATAACTACCTAAAAATCCTCAATTTCCCATTTTAAATCAAATTCAAACTACCAGATCCAATCTTATCTTCTGCCACCTAAGATCCAACCCTCTTGAAAATCCGTCTGGACCGTTAAATTGTAAGCCAGCCCAGCCCAGCCCAAATCCAGCCTATTGATTTTCTTGATAATTTGGTTTTATCATGACACGTGACCTTACCATATTGGTTTATTTTAGGTGTAAACAAAAAGTATTCTTAATTTATTTCACAATAATATAGGTTAAAAAAATCTGATTAATAAATAATATCTTTCTTTTTTAAAAAATGATTTATCTCAATGTATACATAAAGAAGGTATGAGGCGCCCTAATTGATATACAAAATTAGTGTTTTCCATGGGATCAATCATTTTACTTATATTTGATTTGAGAATCACGGATGGGAGGTTGGGAGATGGAAGCTATTGATACATCGTCTGTTCCCTTCAATCCCCCTTTTTTTTTTTTAAAACCAAATAAGAAAAATTTTTAGTCTCTTTTTTTTAAGCCAAACAAATTATTATATTACCTACAAAAAAAATACCAAGTTATTATACAAGCACTATGTTTCTCTAATAATTTTAATGGGGTGATTTAACGGTTAAAAATTTAAAATTTTAAATTGAAAATCTGAAGTTTCGAATCTTAAGTCAAGTGGGAAGAATTTGAAAAAAAAAAAAAATTATCTCTTCTTATATAATTTATAATTAGATATAAAAAATGTTTTTTATATAATGTTTTTGTACAACTTGATATGTCATTAAAATGATTGATTTTTTAAATTCATGTCAGACCCGTGATATTGAATGCATTCACTCATTGAATAACATGTGAAAGTTGTATAAAATAGTGAAACAAATTGTCCATATAACACCATCTTGAAAAAAAATTATGTCTATGTAATTTAATATTAATTAGCAAAAAAAAAAAGTACTAGTTGAGTATTTATTTGAGATGGGTAGGTGACAGCGTGTACCAAAAGAAACTCCTGAGTTGCCCATGATTAAGATTGGTCACCAATTTCGGGTTTATTTGATCCTGATGGCAAACATATTTTCAAAGAAAAAAGGGGATTTCTTTTTTCATTGATTGATCCTGAATCTTCTATAACAATTAACGAGTTGTGGGATGATGTCAAATAATCCTGTAACATAGTGATAATCTTCTTTATCCTTAATGCTAGAGGTTAAAATTTTGCGTCATAATTACAAAACTCATCAACAAGGTCTGCGTGAGAGAGCAAGAGACACAAACACGGATAAGCAATTTCACAATTTCAAGCATACAAATATAAAAAGAATGACAGAAAAGGTTCAGACTATCATATATATATGGTCCCAATATCAATACAAAACTGTTAACCAATTTCTGTACATATATAGGATAGTTTGGGATGAGCTTGCCAAAAATTTCAATGTGTGCAAGTTAAAAAGGGGAAATTTGTGCCTGTGCAGGGCACAACTATGAGTATAAAAATGAATTTGGCATGCTCCCGTGAACCACCCATCTTCAGTTTCTGCAGCGTTAAATTTTTGTTCAAGATATAAAACTGAAGGTTATATGCATTAGGTAATTCTCAGAAGCCCAAGACCTTTGGTGCTAGATGTAACAGAGGTTCCAATGTGCTAGGAGCAAATTTTCTGGCGAAAAGATCGCAGGTTGTAGAAGGCTGATCATTGTAAGTGCAATTCTGATTCTCAAAAATTCTCTTAAAGAAGTCCTCTGAGATATCTGCTCCTCCAAATGTTGCTGGATGAGCCCCACCCCTTGACCAATCCACCGATGTAAGGCTTCTATTTGCCAAGAGATCTGCTGCCTCAATGGTTAACATGGTGGGGAAATAGTGCTCATCTACATAACATGCTGGTTTACAGAATTCTTCAAACTTTAGGTAGTAAGTAGAATCTTCCACTATCTTGATTGCGAGCTTTCGGTCAATTTCAAACCATTGTGACCCTTTCCGCCACTGGGTAATGTTCACCTCGGGTGCCATGTTCTCATTGTAACGTCCTCTACCAACTGGCCCAGGGTCATCGAATACACCCACGAAGCTGTACTTGGATTTCTTTATGTAGTGGTAGATGACACTGAAGCTGTATAGAGGGATGCAAGACTCGGAGAGTAGAATGAACCATTCATTGGATATGTCAAGCAATGCATTAGCAAGGAGTCTTCTCTCAGCATCACACATGCTCATCTTTCCCCACTCTGCAACCTGTAGTAGAGAGAGACCAAATCACTCACTCCAATAACAAAAAGGATCTAGTTCTTTTCTGTGAAAGCATAAAAGCAAAATATCTCATGCTTAACAAAATGATGATAAGTTTTCTCCTTCACTATCCTAAATTATTCAACAATGATTAATGAACAACGGAGTACAATAAATTAAATCAAACAGCCAAAATGTCAAAATCTTAAATATTTGACATAAAATAGGCAAAACTACTTCAATAAGCCCTTATGCCAGGTGACAGCAATAAGTCTGGTTTTATGGGTAAATCAAGCCTATAAATCCTCATATTTATTTAAAAACGTCGAAGAAAAGAAAAGGCTGGGCATAAAACATAACTAGGGAATAGTTGCAAGTCTTTCAAGAATAGTGGCAAGACCAACACTAAGTCATTTGCTAATATTTATTTCTACCATTGGTTGCACAAATGTTACAAATCCTTGTTTAATACAGAGGAATTTCCAGGTCAATCAGATACATCATAGAATGAAGATTTGTAACTTTCTATGAAACCAAAGCTAGTACCATAAGTATTGTAGGTACCAAAAAGAAAAAAAAAAAACAGAATAGCACACCTATTGTGCTTGGTACCTATTAGGGAACCAGAACTTAAAGAACACTCAAAGCTTTGCAGAGCACCCTAAATTAAATCAATGCAATCATCATTTGACACCATCCCTGCATGCCCAGCATGTTAAACAACGCACAACGGCTGTACTCCCATTTTCAAGTCAAACTCTTAGCTAATTCTAGCAAATTTTAATTATTAAAAGCAATCCTCAGACATACACAGCCCATTCTTGGAAGGCACTCCACCACAAAATAAGTGTTTCCACCTTATTTGGGTTCTGCTCTCCCAGATGTTATACTCTACTATGACCAGAAATTGTACAACTTAAAAAGAGTTTTCGGTTCAAGTAACTAATCAAATGAAATTAATTACAAATTGACAGGGAAGTCAGGTTGATCAATTCAACGGTAGATTTAATCTTCTAGAAATTCATGCATTAAGTGTGTATTCATGTGTATAGCTATAAGTTCTTGTATGCCTAATGGATCATGGTATGCAAATGTGAGTATGATTCTCCTCTTCTAAGATATCACAATCACATAGGGTTTGGCCAAAAACCTAAGCAACAAACACAGAGACAATCAAAAATAAGAAATGCACAATTCGAATCAACTAATTTTTAACAACTAGGAGAAATTCCAACCTCTCAAAACCAAAATTCTGAGTGTAAGTGTGCCAACTGCCAAGGTGCAATAAATTTGAAAATGGTTAAGAGAAGAATACTAAGATATTCAAACTTGCTGATATCATTTTGAACCTCACAAGAACTTAACGATAAGAGAATTTAAGCAAAACCCAAATGCAGAGATATAGAATGAACAAGATAGGTGGGTACCGTACCTGACTTGGGATTTGTCTCCCATGAAAAACTGAAGTAGATGGAAACTTGCCATCAAATGATGGTAGTGAATGAACATAGATTGAATAAAACCCTTCATGCCCCTTGAAAAACCGATCCCAAAGAGGCGCAAGAGGCATCGGACCCTTAGTGAGGAACATAAATGCAACCTTTGGAACTCTCTGAAAGGGGTACTCCTTTATCCTAGGCACCAGAGATGCCCTCCAGAACAACTCTTTATCACTCATTTTGTGGAGCAGATTCGATGGAGGTTTTATCCAACGATCCAAGCCATTTGATTCTTCCTCACACGACACAATACTGGACTTCACTGTAGTCACCACACCATAAATTCTAAAATGCCTGATTGTATATATACTAACGACCGAAAATGCGATGCACAGTGCAAGAAACAAGGCAAATAACTGAAGCACCCCAAACGGCAAACTCTTAGCTTGGTTTTGCCTGGTTGTAACCGCAGGATCCTTCCCTTCCTCCAACGCCATAATTCACCTTCTGGGTCAGATCCAGAAACACCCTTTTCTATCAAAGAACAAAACTTTCCTCCTGCAATCTCCAAACCCAGACA